GGGCTGGCGCACCGTCTATCACAGGCTCGCCCCCCCCACCCCGGGGGGGGGGGGGGGGGGGGATGCGTGTATATAATATTCTTTTTGGTTGCTATGGTCTGTAAGAGAAGGAGGGGGGGTCGCAAAAACTCGAACTTAAAACTTACACTCACTATTTTCTTCGAAAATATATGTGAGTTCCACAAAAAGAACTTAATGACTAAAAGGGGATCCTTAAAATTCGTCCGTTAGTAAATCGTTTTCATCATACATTCGAAGAACTATATAAAAAAATACCTTCCTTTTTTCAAGTGCCATGTTTTTCCATTAAAACAGGATCGTTTAAATAGAAGCAAGTAACACGCCAATACAATGGATTCATTAGCCTTATTTTGAGGAAATTCTACTCATTCATATTTTTTTCATCCAAGTCTTGTTTGAGCATATTTCTTTTCAAACTTTATAAAAACAACCAATAGTGAAGCGTGAATAATATGTTGCACATCTTTAAACGTGACCTTACATTCAAAAAAGAAATAGCATGATTGATGAAGGGAAAAAGTATGAAAGGAAATGGCTTTTCTTTCTGGAGGAATCTGTAATGACTTCGTTCATCGATAGAACTTTTCTCTAGCAAAAGACGCCTTTTGCCTCTCTAACTTTGTTCACTTAGGTTACAAAATTCACTATGAAACCTAAGCGTCACGATTGCGACTGAAAATTAAGCCGTATTATAGGTTTTTGATCAAATACTTTTCTTGTAAATGCTCTCAAAATAAAAAAAGAACAACCAAAATCTTATTCTTATTGTTGTTTGTAAGGAGACTGACAGGCAACAATATCTCACAGCTTGAGCGATCGACCAGAAATCGATAAACCATAGTAACTACAAGTCTAGTAAGTAGAAAATTTTCATTCATAGAAATTGATTGTTCGTCATTTTCTTAATTTTTTCATTTCTTTTCTACTTTGTAGCATCATTTCAGTATTTTTACATGCTTGTAAATCTTCTCAATGCAATTCAGCATCTTACGAATTCTATCATTTGATTGTTTTGTGAAAACAATTTCATGTGTCTTCTTTGTTTCAAAAGTAACATACCTGTAGTATTGATCACTGTCACTGTAGATGTTGTAGCGTGTCTGGTCAAAATGATAGACACGGTAATTGTAATAGCTACAACACATGCCACAAAAAGGATCGCAAGGATTAAGACGAAATGTCTAAACGTTAAAAAAATTCAGTAATTTAAGATAATAAATTATTCAACGATAAGAACCTTTTATTAACGTTTTGCCTATGTGTCGAGATTTGTGGTACGTCCTTAGACATATTTTAATGCTTCTGCTCTTTTCAAAAGTGAACTATATTCACTTCAGATTGCAATATTTAAGCGAGAGAATACTTAAACTTATGGCCTACACAAACTCTTTTTTTATATATTTGCACAAGTTTGTGCATCAATATGTTTCCTAACTTTCTGAAAATCTTATTCACAGATGAACGTTCAAATGCCCAGGTGGGTATTATGCACACATTAAATCATGCATGCGTTGAGACGATGTTGATTGATCAATTGTAGTAAACATGTCATCTATCACTTCCTGACACTATAAATCATGCACAGTGAAAAATATTTTTTTAAATATAAATCTCAATATTTTTTCTCAGTTTGTTACTCTTTAAGCAATAAAACTCATAATCATAAATTTATATTCGACACACGAACTAACTTTTCACACACTTTCTTGTACATTTTATAAAATTACACGCTGATAAGTTCGAATATTGAAGCGGATCAATGAGAAAAAATTCATCTGACTAAGATGATAAACAATTACATAGATATCACTATATTGATTCAAGAAAATAGAAACATTCTCTATAGATTATGAAAAAACAACAATGATGGTAAACATTTCTATTGAACCATTTATAGATATGAATCAATGAATATCGACTACATAGAATGAAAACGTGAGTAAATATTTCTATATACTTAATAAAACAATATCATAATAATAATACTGAAGTTTTAGCGTCTTGAGAATATTTTTCCCTATGAAACAAGAACAGATATGTGAATATTAGAAACGATTTTCGTATTTGAGTTAAAATAATAAATTAACATAGATTTTTTCTTGTTGAAAATTTAGTTCGAAGTAGGTGAAGGTTCTCTTCAATTGTCATTCGAACTTATAACATCAGTAATGTCCCATGGAAAATAGAAGACAATTATATTTATCTTTAATACCTTCTCAATATATGAAAGCTTTATTATCAGTTTTATATGTTGGTTATTGATTGCATTATTTATTTTGTTTTTGTTTCTTATGAAAAAGACTGCCATGATGCAAACCAACGTTGATGTTATTATTGAGTTATTTTATCAATGGAATTAATGAGAAATGTTGAACAAAATCCATATATTGATGAAATACATCTTGTTGACTACGTCTTTTATCCAATATTGAGAAAGACACTTCAATAAAATTCAGTGTTTTTCTATTTTTCTATTTACGAACGAAACAAAATCATTTCAATGAAAAAATTAATTTTTTATTTTCACAAATTAATTGTCAAAGTTAAATAAAACAGATAGTCTTTTATTAAAACGCCTAATTTATCAAAGAACAATTCAATTTGAAATAGATGACATGGAATATTTCCGATTAAAATTCAATAAAGTCAATAGATATTCTTTTATCATTGATATAGGTAACTTCATTTTGCATATTGAGAATTTTTAATCAGTAGAATAATAGACAACATAGATATTTTTACTAAAGAAAAATCTTTTTACTATGAATTTCACGCAAACCTCAATCTACATATATGGTGATTCAATCTCAGAGAACAATTTAAGAGTGAGATTGTCGTGGAAACCATGAGAATGTATCCTATGCGATGAACCGAGGGTGGGTGTGAGTGTAAGTCAGGGTGACCAGATCAAAAATTTAAAAATCAGAATTTTGTTTTTCAAAATCAGAAATTAATCAGAAGGAATAGTTTTTCGAAAACTAATGGATATTATGTCAAATTACTGGCATCCAAAGTTCCACTAAGTTTCTGTTCATTAATTTATTTTCTTTTTTTTTAACACTAATATCTGATGTGCTTTATGATGGTTCACATGTTAAAAAGTCAAGAAAAAATGAAGTGGTAGTTTGGAACGAAAAATAACGGTATAGAAAGATAAATAAAGTAGATAGAACATAAAAGTTTATATATGCTGTTCCAACGACTGATATAAAAGAAATGACATGGAAGTGTAACATAATACAAAATAAAAAAATAAAAAAGACAACTAGCACATCAATTTTACAATCGTAGGGAATATAAGATAGTATATCACTCATAGATATAAGGTGTGGGTTTGTGAGTTTGACTGTCCTGCCTTCCTGTAATCTACACGGCCTGTCCACAGGTAACGCACTCACCCATTTTTGACCTTCCGGTTGTCATAACTCACTAAACTCTGCTTGCAAAGAGCTGAAATTTATACTGTAGCCAGATATATGAAAATTCTCGTTGCACTAAACATTTGTATTTCGTTAAGTGACATGGTAATGATTCTGAAAGGATAGAAAGGTGCGGTAACGCACTCATTCAAAAGTACCCTTCCATGACAGTGACTCAGAAAAATGTATATTTTCAGAAATTTTCTCGCTTCGAAAGAAAATATTTTTATTTATGTATAAAGCTGAGACAACAGACTTTATAATAATGAAATTTATTTTTTGGAAGTTTGTGCCTACAAACATTAATCAGGAAAACATCACGGTAACGCACTCATCGATTTTTTTTTGGCTACATATTAAAGCACATGTTTTTTATAGGTTTAATAGCAATAGAAGGTGATCTATCGATGTCAAACAGTAAATCAGTCTTCGATAATACTACTATGATTTTCACTTTTTCAAATGATACAGTAGTGATTGAAATATGATTGTGGGAATAAGGCCCCGTTTTTACCGTTTTTTTCACTAAAAATGCTTGATTTTGGCTGGCGACTGTCATTTATTCTCATTTTTTCTCAAAACAGATGACATCCATTGATAGGGCATATACGAAAACCTATTAAAAATTTTTCAATGAATGAGCTCGGTTGTCATTATTTTCAAGAATGTCTCTGTTCAACTTTGGCCAAGCTGGGCCCATTTTAGCTGGACAAGCCGTACATCCTCACCCACGACTACTTCTGTGATGGCAGCTGAGACAATTATACAAGCAAAAATTTCATATCAATAATTTTAACATAAGTTCAGCCCAGATATATAGAGTCTACAACATCAATTGGCTAAATAATCGATCAATAATAAACTATAGCATATATTATTTTGATTTTTATTGTTGATGATGCTATAATGATCTTTATTCTTTTTGCATACGATCATGAAAACCTGGATACATTATTGAACATCCTGAAAGAACTGTATTAGCAAATAAATCTCGACGGATATCAATATAACACTTCATAACGGAGGGTGTGGGTGTGGGTGTGGGTGTGGGTGTGGGTGTGGGTGTGTGTGGGTGTGGGTGTGTGGGTGTGGGTGTGGGTGTGTGGGTGTGGGTGTGAGTGTGGGTGTGCGGGTGCAGGTGTCTGTGTAGATAAGAAGTGGAATATCTACAGTCACGCCCCACACCCACACCCACACCCACCCCCACACCCACCCCCACACCCACACCCACACCCACCCACACCCACACCCACACCCACACCCACACCCACACCCACACCCACACCCACAAAATCAATGGAATAGAGAATTGTTAATTTTTGACTTGTTAGAAAGATTTACATTAAATCAAATAGAAAAATTTGATTTTTATAAAACTTGGCTTGAAATTGAAGAATATACTGGATTTCAACAAGATCAATGTAATATATTACTTAAATTATTACATCGAATTCAGTTAAATAATATGATTTCATTTAATCAATGTAATGAACTTTTAAGAATTTTAAAGAACATTGATTTTGAAAGTATTTATAATATCCTATCGAATGGTTCAAATCCATACGAGGATATTCTCAAAAAATTTTTCAAAAATCTAATTTTTGAACATTTATCAAATAAAGAAATAAATAAGAAATATATCGATAATTTAGTATGTAAAATGATTATAAAATTTAGTTTTGATATAAGTAAAAAATTTTTAGATACAATACATATAATAGACAATTTAAGAGAATTTGAAGAGTTTTTAGATTTTGTCGAAGAAAATAAAATTAAGATATTCAATATAAATGTTCAATGTAAAAATATTTCAACATTGAAAAGATCATTTGAACTGCAAGTTTTAGATAATAAAATCGTAAATGTTGATCATAGAAAATTAACTTTGATTCTTAGTAATTTATTAGATAGTCAATGGTCTTTTAAACAATTGAATATGATTTTTAAAAATCTTATCGCTTCGAATAATGAAGAGAAACGAATCAAAGAAATAAATTTTCTTTATGTCCTAGAAATATTATCTCAATATAGTGTAATTCCAACAATAGAAAATCTAGAAAAAATATCAGAAGCTCTCAAAGAACCAGCACAGAATTGGCAACGATTGATAAATATAATTGCAGTTGAAGGTAAATTTCGCGATATAGGTCAATTAAGAAATATAACAGAATTAATAGAAGAATTTGAAAAAAATAATTCTCAAAATAAAAACTTGATAAAATTAGTAGATTTAATAAATAATATCAAGAGTAATAATTTAATTTCTAAAATTGTCAATCAAACTATGGGTTATAGAATCGATGAAAAATTGAAAAAGAGAAGACAAATCTATATTTCTGAATGGACTAAAAATGAAATTCAAGGATGGGCAAAAACAATAAAAGATAATGTCTCTTCATATAATATTACAGACGATTTTATTGTAGAAACTTTAGCCGTAATAAAACGAGCTTATCTCTTAGACAGTGGTTTTCATTTGACTGATGCTCAAATTTTAAGTTGCATAATTCTTTTAAAAGTAAATACTAACAAAGGAATGCTATTACAAGTAGGAACTGGTGAAGGTAAATCAACAATTATAGCTGTATTAGCAGTAATATATGCATTAAAAGGAAATAAAGTTGATGTTATTACTAGTTCACCTGTACTCGCAGAAAGAGATGCAAAAGAAAAGAAAAATTTCTACAACATGTTTAATCTACAATGTAGTGATAATACTGATAAATCAATTTATTGGACAGGTCCTAAATCTTGTTATAAGAGTGAAATAGTTTATGGTGAAGTAGCACAATTTCAATTTGATACTCTAAGAACAGAATATAGTCAACTTAATACATTGGGAAATAGAAAATTCGAAGTTGCTATAGTAGATGAAGTAGACAGTATGCTTATTGATGATAGTTCAAAAATTGCAAGACTTGCAACTATCATTCCAGGAATAGATCAATTACAAATAATATACCACACAATATGGTATCGACTTATTTATTTGCAAGATAGAATACTTGAAATTAATAATAAAATTTATTTATTTCATGGAAAAATTAGTTTTGAACAAGAAAAAATGATTCTAGAATATATTGATGAACAACCAGGAAATATTATTAAAATTCCTGATTTAAAAATCTACGTAGAATCTATTCTGAATATTAGTCATATTGGAATATTAATTCCAGAAAATGTTGAAGTTGAAACATTTATTAAAAAAGATATAGAAAATTATATTAGAGATTTACTTGATAGATTAACCGTTATACCAAAAAGTTTTGAAGAATTTGTTGATACACAAATGTGTAAATGGATAGATAATGCTATGATTGCATTAAATTATCAGGAGAATGTACACTACGTCGTACATCAAGGTTTAATTAAACCAGTAGACTATGCTAGTACAGGTATCGTTCAGAGTTTTTCACATTGGAGTGATGGTCTCCATCAATTTTTGCAACTAAAACATAGTCTAAGAATGACGTCTGAAACTTTTACTACGAATTTCCTATCAAATAAAGGATTTTTTATAAAATATGGTTCGAATTTATTTGGTCTTACGGGAACACTTGGTTCCGAAAAAGCTAAGCAAGTCTTAGCCGATATATATAATGTAAATCTTGGTATTATTCCCAGCATGCGTCAAAAACAGTATCTTTCATTACCTGATCTTGTATTGACTAATGAAATTGATTGGCTTAATGAAATATGTCGTTCAGCAATTAATGAATCGAGAAAAGAACGAGGAATACTTGTTATATGTGAGACAATCGAATATAGTACACAAATAGTAGAAAAACTCCAACGAGAATACAGTTCAGGTACGATAAAATTTTATACGATGAATAATATGAATCAAGAGAAATATATTGAAAAAGTATATCCGAGAGAAATTATTGTAGCTACGAATTTAGCAGCTCGAGGTAATGATATAAAAACCGATAACATTAAAAAATATGGTGGTCTTCATGTTATTATTACATTTATGCCACTAAATAAACGCGTTGAAGAACAAGCATTCGGTAGAACTGCACGACAAGGTAAACGTGGTACAGGTCAAAGAATAATAAATGCTGCCAGTTTAGCTCATTATGAAAATTTCAACATACAAAAAATCACCGAACTACGAGACAGTATTGAGACAAGCATTTTAGATGATTTTCAAAAGCGTGAACTTAAAATAATTACTTTAAAAGATGAACTTTTTACCAAGTTTTGTTTGTTGTTAAATGAAATAAGACAAAAAATTAGAGATAAAAGTAGTTTATATGTAAAAGTAAAAAGTCAAGCGAAGAAAATAGTGACAAAAATTTCACCGTCCATTCTTGAGTCTAATATACTTCTCAGTATTGAAGAACAATGGGCTATGTTTTTACGTGAAATAGATAATCAAATATCTCCAATTGATAATGAAATATTTTATGAACGATTCGAAAAATTTAGTAAAAACATCCGAAAAAATTATGAAAATGATTGTATTATTAAAAATCCTTATTGTCAAATTGCCATTGCTAATGACTTAGTCATTAATGATTCTTCCTTACGTAGAAATTATGATGATGCGATGAAATATTTTGATCGAGCTATAGAACTTGATTCAAAACATACTGCAGCTGCGTTTGCTGGAAAAGGTTGGTTAATATTGGAAGGTAAAGAAATTTTTTTTGGTTCCAATAAACAATCTATAGGTTATAAAGAGGCAGCTATTCGATTATTTAACAAAGCATTTGAAATTCTTAGTGAAGAAATATCAGCATTGACAGTTATACAATCATTTCTAAAACATCGTTGTCAGAATATGAATACGGATCTTAGTAAACAATTAATGCAAAAGAATCATATTCTTAGTTCTTATTGTAATTGTTTAGAAAATGCTGTAAATATTATTAAGAAATCGCAAAGATTAATTCAAATAACTGAATTAATAGATTACTCAAAGTTAAGAGAAAATGAAATTAATAGTAATTTTTTTACGAAAAAAGACTCAGTAAATTGCCAAAGCGAAATCTCTCAAAAGATAATTTCATATGATGCAATTGAAAAAGGATGTGGAAAATGGTGCGATGTGCGGTTAATATCTCATAATAATCTAAATCGTTATAAGACATCAATTAACAATGGTAAAGAAATAATAGTTATGAAAGGAATCAATAATGCACTTACAATTGTTTATAAAGACAAAATTCAATATCGATTAAGAGAATGGATAGTGAAAGATTCTACATTGGCTGATGTACTTGCAGCTTTATCGTATGATGAAACAATTCTTGATCGAGATATTCATATGAAAATTTATACTTTAATTTATGAGAAACTTACATCGAAAAATGGCCATATTCGAGAAGAATTTCCATTATTTCTTCAAGAGTCAACAGATCATAATCAATACGAAGTAAAATTTAATGATTTAACTGTTAGACAAGATAGTAAAATCAAAGATCAAGCAATAGAAATTATTGATAAGATATTACCTCAAGATGAAGGTAGTTTGTTTGATATCAATGGTGAATTTTCATTTTTCAATAAAGTTCCAAGTTTTTTAAAGAGAAAGTGGAATTTTAGAACATGATTATGAACATATAAATATAACTATGCAACAGGTTAAGGCAGAGAAATTAAGAGAATTTCTAAATCCTAATATTGAAGTTAAAGACTTGACGAAAGAAGAAGCTCTAACACAATTGAAAAAGAAAATATTTTTTTTCAATCGGTATCTATTACCACAAGCTGGTCTGTCGATTCATACCGAATTAATTTAGAAATTATTTCCGAGAATAACAATAAACTCGAGAACATGAATGATCTAAAGGCCACTGAAGTAATTAAACGAATAGAAGAACGAATAGATCAAAATGAACGTTTCAATATGAGTTTTATTTCCGCTAATGAAACAGCAAAAATCTTAGAAAAAGTACTATGTCGTTCAAATATAACAGTCGAATTCATTGATTTAAGAGTAGAAAATGTTAGAGAAAAGTTAAGAACGATAGTATCTAAATCTCTTACTCTTGAACTCACCGACACAAAAGAAACATTATTAGAAGTTATTCGTTCCTTAACAACGGAGCAGATACAGTTGTATAATCGTGTAAAAGAACAAAGTATTGTTGAAGTAGTAAATAAAATGACAGCTGAGAAAAAAATTTTAGAAATTTCATATACATTTGCGACTATAAAACTAATCGATGTAAATAAAAGTATTGTAGAAAATGTACTTAATATTTGTTCTAATGCGAATTTTAATATAACTTTTATTAATATAAAAAATAGTTGTCTTTTGATTGGATTAAAAGATGAACTTATAAATGTGAAAATCGATATGTTAAGAAAAAACGCGGCCAAAACTATTATTGAACACATAAGAAAGCATAAATTAGAATTTAGTTTAGTATTTTCACAACTGACATCTAATCAAGTGAAACAAATAATAGATTTAGCTCCAATAGAACAAGAGAACATATAAGTTCAGCGATTTAAAACTTTGAGTGAATTATTCATGAGTCAACTACGACCTAATGCAGAATTAGCTGAATTTTCTGGACGAGGTATCGAATATTTGATTGAAATTAATGAAAAAGAATTTATTCCATGGACAAGTATAGCTATCATATGTGCTTTAGCCAGTGTTCAAATGGCAGTAGGTGGACTATTAATAGCTAGTGGATTTGGAGCTAATTTAGGAATGAGTCTTGTCACTGAAGGAGGATCAGATTTGTTCATTGCTTACAGAGTATATAGTACGAGACAATTTTCTTGGTCCGATTTTGCGAAACAAAAAGCAGTAAGTCTAATTATTTCAATAGCTTCAATGGGACTCTCATCACTCAAAGATGCAGCTAAAGGAGCTCAGAATTTAGTCGTAGGTGTAGGAGAAGAAATACTTGAACAAGCTAGTACAAGAGTAATAACAAATGGTAGGTCCGTATACCAAACATTGAATGTAGCCAGAAAAAATTTAAATAGTCTAGCTGTTAAGCATATTGCAGTAACAATTCAAAAAAATATTATAAGAGAAGGTTTAAGTAAATCAATAGATGTTAGTTCGCATTTTTTATTGAATCAATGGAAGTCGAAAGTTTTGGAATCCATAAAAAGGGAAGTTTACACGAAATTTTGTGGATCTAATTTAAAAACGATAGTGAATAAAATGTATGTGCTTGATTTATTTACTAAAAACACATATTTTAAAGAAAAACTTCATAAAATACTATGTGAAATAATTAATCCTGAAGATAATATATGGAGTAATGAATTTGACGTCTTGGCTGGTGTATTATGCAAACGTATTTTATCTAGTATGTCGATAACACGTAGTTTCGCAAATATTGGTAACATAATACTTTGTAATCTGAGACAATTTCGTGAAATTATTTTTATTGTCGATAGGGTTCATAATTAACTTTTAAAAAACCTTTCGAATATCGATCAAGAAACATTAACCATGCGTCATATCTTACAGCGTTATTGTGAAGTCAGTAGAAATAATGTCAAAAATATCATAATTATTCTACAAGAGCAAAATATATTAAATCAAAGTGAAGAGTTTAACGAGCAAAATTTTTCAGAAGAAATTATTCGTACTCATTTGAATCAATTCAATGAATCTAAAGAGAAAATTGTAAATGTTTTGAAATTCTTGTATTCGAATATTTCAAATGTAGATAATTTAAATGAAATAATGAAATTAGTATCAGATATGATTACTGAACAAATATTCAGAATTACAGAATCACAACTTATCTTGCCTTTAAGTGGTTATGCTATAGGAAACTTAACAAATATTTTTTCAGAAACAGTCGAACATTATTTAGTTGTAGACGAAAAACAAAATTCATCTAGTCAAAACCGAGAAGAAAACAGTAGAACATATAATACAATAAGAGAAAAAATTGAACAAAATGCTAAAGATTATACTATCGCATATAGCCAATGTGAAATAATTCATTATACTAAGCAACGAGATGAAATAAATAGTCAAAAATTCGATGAGAAAATAAGTGATTAGATTACAGGTGTCAAAATAAATTTACCAGCAAACATATCGGACATACTCACATTAGCCGAAAAGCATGCCTTACAGTTAAAATTAGTTGATGATCCTAATTATGAACCAACACACGAAGATAAAACTAAATGTACAAGCATAGTACTATACAATAAAAGAGATCGAGATAGTCAGGGAAATGTTAAAGTAGGACATTTTGAATTAATTTTAAACGATAGGAGTGAATATAATACTTCCAATACAAATAATGATTCTGCTTATACGGTTATTCGACAAATATTAGAAAGAAAAGGAATATGCAAAACTATTGAAGCACTTCGTAACGACAGAGCTAAAATAATAGAGGATAATCCTCATCAGTTTTCCATAGCAGGGTGTGGGTGTGGGTGTCAATAAACAGAACATACTCACGCACATGCACACCCCCACCTACACCCTCTCCAAATAAGAGCCGTAGGAAATTGTGTTGATTCACCAATATTTTTCATTGTTTCTGCAATGACAGGAAGAGCCTTCATCTTTCCTGTCGTTCCAGAACTTGTAGAAAAATAGATGAGCTTTTCCGACGAAAGTAAATTCTTCTCTCCACTGAAAGCCATTCGATCGATATAATCGCGATAATCATCCTATGTTGTCAATGGAGCTTTCTCTCGAAACTCATCGATTAATACATATCCTTTGTCTTCAGAAGCAGTATCATATGTCGACAAGATTGTACACGAATGATTCTTTTGAAGAATTTTTTCCAATAATTCATTGTTTGTTGTTTGCAGATTGCATAGTGAACCTTGATAATACGATACGAATGCATCAATGTTCGATTCTTGAGAATTTGAATGCATCTATTTTTCAAGTTGAATTTGATTATGAAGAGAATTGACAGCAATGGAAACGATACTAAGATAAATATTAACTCTTTTTTATACGGACCTTGTAATTTTAAGGTGGTAGGAGACAGAGAAATGATAAAAAGACGATAAAGAACAAAAAAGATAGTTCATCATCCCGATAAAGTCCATGTGAGTGTTAGTACGTGGTAAATAAAAGATGCTACAATGATCTCCTACTTTTTGTTTTTTATTCTGTCGAACGTCATTCCAGTAAAGGAACTGCTTTCAAGTATACGACTAATTTGCACTGTTGAGACAATATAAATGTAGAATACTGAATGCTTGAAGAGTAGTTCATCCTGAGTTTTTGATACATTGAGTTCTCAAAAGTAATTGATTCTAACAACTAGAATACAAAGCCACCTGATAAGATCTTTCGTCAGATCAAAATTCGTATCGTGGTGGCTCAAAACAAACATGAAACTCTGATTTTCATGATATAGGTATATTTATAAAGTCACTCTTTTCGGAAAAAATGAGTTACGACATGCAACATTTTTCTCGCAATTCAATTTATGGGTGTTCATTGCAAGAAATGAATCAACTCGAGAGGTATTTTTCTCATTGAATAGGTCGATCTGACATAGTTACATTACATATTCTACTCGATATCTAATATCAATTATCGTGTTTCACATTTTTATCCCGTAAGGATTGCGCTAAAAGCTTTTTCATTTTGTATACTTTATATCACGATGGTTTGAATAAAAAAAGAGATATCTATTCGAAACGATAAATAAAATCATAAGAATAAATGTTGCCTAATGACACAATAACAAGCTGAAATAGGAATTCACTTTTACACAAGATGTCAAGTGGTCCTAACACATCAATAATCGCTTGGATCTGTAGAAATGAAAGATTAGTCGAATGTAATAGTGACGCCAACATTCTTTGGATGGAGCGTAAATTCCCGTTTGTGTCCACCTGCATTGACTTCTTGACCACCATCACCGAAAGTTACATGTTGCATAAGTCTAGTTGTGATTGCTTTCAATTCTAATCGAGCTAAATCTTGTCCAACACATTGTCGATGACCACCACCGAATGGAATTAATGCATACGGATGATGATCTTTATCTACACCTTGAAATCGTTCTGGATAGAATAGATCCGGATCGATTTTCCAATAGCGTTTATCTCGAGTTAAATTATAAATATTAATCATAACTTCATCACCTTTATATAATTGGGTTCCACTTCCTGGTAGTCGATCATCGATAGTTAGATTGCGAACTGTGTAACTTCCAGGTGGAGCAAAACGCAATGTCTCATCAATAACACAATTTAAATACTCAAGAGAGTCGAGCTGTTCAATAGACAGACGTTGAGATTTATTGTCACCTAGCTCAGCTTTGATTTTTGCTTGAACACGAGGATTTTTACTTACAAGATGAACGAACCATGTGAGTGCAGTCGATGTTGTTTCGTAACCAGCCACAAGAAACATGAGCATTTCCTGGAGTACTTCATTACGAGATAGTCCTCAAAAAAAGAACAGTATTTCCATAAAGACATTTCTATCGAAAATAACTGATTTACCTTTCTGTTTATCGTCTGATTTAGCCGCTTCGCTCTTCTCATCTTGCTGCAAAGAATTAACAAGTGATGCAATCAGACTAGTTCTCTTTCGTTCGGCAATCGATTCTGGTGTCTTGCTTTGCTCTTGTTCGATCATTCTATTAAAATCCTCGCGGATAATATTCATCGCTTGCTGATATTGACGACTGAATTTCAGATAGATTTTAGCCACAGTTGGTGGCATGTAGAGAGTCCACAGAACACTATCCATAAAATCGAATAAAGCTTTTCTCAGCTTATTGGTTTTTACACTATCAGCATCATCATTTAACGCTCCTAGATCATTGTCAAAAGCAATCAAGCCGAATATTGCGAGTATTAGTTCTTGAAATTGGTTTCCTATGTCGAGATGAATACGAGTAGGATCATCATTCTTCAAACGCCATCGATCGAGTAATTTGTCTGTACAATCATTGATTAGGTCCAAATAGCCCAAGACCTTACTACGACGAAATAGAGGAAGGACTATACTTGCATAACGCTTGTATCTGGCTCCTAAAATATAAAGAAATAATCAGATATGAGCATCGTTTTTTCTGTACGCAATCTATATTCTCAAAAAATCGAACTATTCAACTATACTATTATCTCTATCACTGACCTATGTTGGCAATTAGTGAATCGCCTAGACAAGGTGCAATCTGTTGTGTGTGCATATTGCCTTGTTCATAGATGTGTCGATGACTAAATACATGTTGTATATCTTCAGCGTTGCATAGACCAATCACTCGCAAGGGTCCTGCAAAATATTGATAAACATCGCCAAATTCGGCTTGCATTTGCAAATTGATAGTAGCTGGAGAAACTCCGCGTAACATGCCCATCTGTACGATATTTCCAAACAAAAATTGAGGTGGTTTTCCGGGCAAAAGGCCACGTAGAGTAAAGTATTTTAGTTTGATGTAAATAGCAAATATTATTAGCAGAGTAACGACAAGAACAAAAAGCATCATCATCATCATTCATATGCACAATGTAGAAAGTAATGTGCTTTGACTTTGCTTTCCTTTTGTATCGTATCACTGCGATAAGAAGCGTAAAAAAAGAGAAAAAAAGATTTTGGCCTCACCGTCATCCCGAAATATCAAAAGCCGAGAATGATAAAAATAAGAAAAAAACTTTCACGACTATTCGACTATCATACAATATACTAGAAATAAATATTTGCATATAATACTCAGGTGAAATAAGCACCACCGTAGATGACTATGCACAATGTAATAGGGCCATGGACGGTCGTGTTTTGGTGATTTTTGGTAGCCGTATTACAACTATGTATCACCTATCTTGAGGGTGTGGGTGGGTGTGGGGTGTAGGTGCGCGTGTGGGTGTGGATGTGGGTGTGGATGGGTGCGGGTATGAGTGTGTAGTGTGGATGTGGGTGGGTGTGGGTGTCAATGAAGAGAAGATCAACATCTACACCCACACCCACAGCCCACTCTAAAATTTTATTCTAAAACAAATTCTGCATCCAATCCCCATGCGTTTCATATTTTTTATTATGAATTATTCATGAACATTTTACAATAATGATGAAAAATAAAATTTGCACCATTATCAAAAAGTCTATTTGCATGATCGAATCAAATTAGACTAAAATCTTCTCGATTTACTCTTTCGAATCATTACATCGATAAATCATCTTAATTTCACGATATAATCGATTTTCCAGAAAATCTCTATTTTCTTAGCATCACCACATATCTACTGCAATAGATAAAAAAAATGTCTTGTTCTCCTTCATCAAAAAAAAATGAAAGGGCATTGGCGATATACTGTTTTAAAAGGCAAGGTTTTATCACATGAAATGTCTTGTCAGTGACAAAAAGACATTATCATATAATGACAAAGCAAACGATGCATCTTCTTCGTTCTTCTTTTCTTCAAGACTGTTTTACTTTGACAAGCGTTTGATTGTACCGTGATGCCTAACTTCGAGATCACTCAGTACGAAAACCAATGATACCGTCCCAGGACATCAAATATCCAATAACTCATTGTTGGAAAAGTCACTTAATAAATGTGGTATTTAAATTTGGTGAAATGTAACCTTTCATATTATGATAACCCATTTCCGATGTGACATGAATAGGAAAGTATGGAAAAGTATTAATGGTATGTGCTCTCAGCTGGATAACTCATCGAATTAATATCAAAAATGCACTTTGAGAAGCACCACATGTTTAGGCTGTGGCTGTGGGGCGTGGTATGGGTGTGGGTGTGTGGGCATGAGTGTGGGTAAAAATAAAACAAACACCAACACCCTAACCCGCAAGCACACCCATACAATGCAAAGTCCATCAAATGATACATTAACATGATGAAAATCTTTAATTAATCTAGACCACCAATCTTGTGCTCGTTTAGTAAAGAAGTCTATATTGAAAAATCAACTTTTCTTTTTAAAAAAAACTTTTATAGAGAAAAAAAAAGAAACTATTAACCTGGAAAAAAGACATCACCTGGCCAACATGAACCTTTGATTGGTGTTTGTCCATCATCTGATTTAACAAAAACATCTTCTCTCATACCTTCAATAGTTGGTGTATAATGAGTTTGATCATCAATTGTACCCGGATCCAAAATAATAATTGTTCGTACACCTTCCCTATTTAATTGAGCAAAATATTCTTTTAAACCTTTATAATTAATTGGATCAATTGTAAAATCTTTTGCAGCTTCCATATAATCAATATCAGCATATTGAACATCAAGTGGAATACCAGCATCTCGATTTCGTTTAACAATATTTTGCATATGAGCTAAATTAGAATATCCCCAATGTGAAAGTTGAAAACCAAATGAGCAATAGAATGGTAATATTGAACGACCAACAAGCCATGTATATTGTTGAACAACTTGTTCTGGTGTTGGATCAAGAAAAGCAAAAAAATCTAAAATACCACCAATGGTTCGAATACTTACTGAAGGTGTTCTATCAACTGAATAATCCATAGCATTTGAATTAAGTAAAAGAATACCATGCATACGACCAGATGGAGCTTCATTTGAATTCATTAGCTGTTCCATAACAAGATAAAATGATTGAGTACCATAATGATTTGAATTTGTATCCCAATTTGTTCCTAAAAAACAAAATTTTTTTTTTTTCACCATTCTTACCAAGCCAAGAAATCAAGAATTTCAAATCTTTCTATAGGTTCTTTTTATCACAGACAGATAGTGTCAGTGCTAGACTGAATAAAAAACTCAAATCTACACACATATAACATGAGTCGTTTGCTTTTCTCTGCATGACAAACCTTGATCACGAGCAAATATTCCCCATGATCTTCTCTCTTGAACATTATGTTTAAGTGTATCATGATTATTTTCACCAAAACCATAAACATGTGGTGATTGAAGTCGAGTAACTATTTGAAGAAATTGATTATTCAAAATAAGACCGCCGAGTGATGTATCAAATGAAACTGCTTTATCAATTTGACGTTTTATTGCAAATGGAAGAATATTATCACGTGAACTATCCGACGAATAGCCAAATTCATATTGTGGAGAAGATACTTGATCGGAGGCAGATGACAATGGTATCGGTACCTAAATCAATTAAAAACTTTCTAATAAAGTTTATCTAAACAATAATACGAACGTCTAACTGTAGAATTCATATTTATTTTTTATTTTTCAGCTTCGAATGAGCAAAAAATACCAGTTAAATATTGTTATACACATGTAGTATTTTATTCTCTTTCAACATAAATATTTAATAATCTTTTACTTAATTAAAGTCGTTTACTTATGAGCAAATTTTGGAAAAATCCTAATACTTACTTTATTTTGCTTGAAATAATACGTTAGAAAAGTAATTTTTCGTATAATTTGTAGACTAAATTTTCGCCTGCAAACTGAAGTATGAAACAGTTTTTTATTCTTTATAAGATTTAATTCTTTTCCTTAAAAACAAACTTCAATAAGAGTAGAAATCTTTATCAACATCATCTTTAGAGTTGTATAAACAATTGTTCACACTGGAGCAATCTTGAATAACAGAAAAGCGTTCAATCTATGTACAGTGAATAAATATAGATTTCTGAATCTAAATAATTATTTTAATTATTACTTGGGGTGTGGGTGTGGGTGTAGGTGTGGTTGTGGATGTGGTTGTGCGATTTTTCGACACACCCACACCCCAAAACAACTCTACTTACTGACATTGATGAAGACGAATGAACGTCTTTTGTGTTTGTGATCTATCAATGCTATTTTAATAATACTTTTGCCGCATGCTTATATTTTCTATTGCTTTTAAAATCAAAATAATACGTTTTGAGTTCTCTCTTCTCTTTTTTCTGTTATTTTTTGTTTCCATATGATCTTGTGAGACGTATATCTTATCTTTAACAATTTTCCCTCACTCAAAGGCATCGTTTTGTTCTATGAGCTCTTTTACACTTCCACCCACAGATTGATGAATATCCTGAAGGTTTTTATTGTTGCTATTACTGTCGACATATGTTGCGAACTCTTTTTCGGTCGTCAACTGAGATTTTTGAGTGACGTGAGCCTTTTCGCTGTTTGTCTTAGGCATTGATGTGCAGCCCGATATTGTTTCGCGGTCGGAGTAACAAACTGACGGGTAGAGTCTATTGGATCCAAAATTTTCGAACTCGAACTCCAATGGGTTCGGGTTCGAAACCAACCCAACGAGTTTTACTGACCGGCTGAATACAGTCTTTTATCAATTTCTTTACGCATCCAAATAAGGCCCGATAACTTTTGCATTCATGCTGAGTGATCAGTCTGTCGGGTAGAGATTTTTGTTCTCTTTCTTAAACAGTGTTGTGTGATCCGAAATCTTTCGCAGTGACACTTATAGATTGATGAACTGAATCTAGATTTTTAGATTAATTTGATACGTCTCAGTACAGTTAGTAACACACGAGCATTACTCTTACACATTCATGTTTGCGCTGAGTGCTCTTTCATTCACTCTGCGATGTTGTTTTTGAACTAAGAGCTTTGCGCCGTCAGCATAGCAGATCGTTTGGCGACCTGAAAGCTTTTTCTCGTTTCTATCTTTGAAGATTGTTTGTGGATATACAGACTTCTGCACTCATTGTTACAAATCAGTGCACCACCGGACATTTTAGAACTCAAGCTAATATATTGATGCAAGTCTTGATGCTCTTAGAGACTACTTGTCGATATCACTATTGAAGTAAAATCTTCATTCAAATGTTAGTCTCTACGGTTGAAGACTGTTGTGCAGTTTTTTTGTATACATTTGGACCTAGCTGTGTGTCTAGAAGCTAACGTCTATTGTCATATAACATTGATAGGATAGGCTGATGCTTTTTACTATCATTTTTATACGTTGTAATTTAGCCGGGCCCTTTTCACGCGATTGTCTGACATTAATGGGTCACTAGAGTTTTCTTTTGCTTACTCCTTTTCATTGATGTGAGTTCAGAAGTGTTCCGCTGATACTCTCAGGGAATACTGCAATTTCTATATATTTTTGTATTCATTGTCGCAGAAAGTAATATTCTATGAGACTGTGGATATCTCTTTTATTTCTTTGTCATCGAATTCCGTGTTACGTTATGGTAATAATTCGATTTGCTTTTATCGAATAACAAAAGATCATGAATAGCATGAAGGGGACAAGCAAGAAAAGTAGTCATGCAAAATATTGACAACATCCTGAAATCGAGACGAATACATACATATTAAAGATGTATGATATAGGTTGAAAAAGTGAATCAATCAAATGGCTAACTGATATTCATAGACAAGCCAAATGATTACAGTAGCGCTGGTCACCACCTTTAATTTCATATCGACCTCAATCGTTATCAATATTAGGATATTATTAGCGCTATATATTGGACTGTCAAAACATCTAGTTTTTCACTGATAATCATCCTAATAAATGACCTACCACAGTCAAATAGTTTTTAACAAAATAGTGATGAAGACTTGAGAGACGGGTTTCTGTCGTTTTAGGTGATATTGGGTATGTGACGTGTTTTTTTCTATCATACGAGTCGTTTGTTAGTTGGAAGATTACAACATTCCACTTTTATTATTTACTTTTTTTTCTTTCATATGAATATCTTTCAGCTATGAACTTTTTTGACAATGATAACACTTATCAAAAGTATAACATTCAAATTGATAAGCACACAATGTGAATGCAACTAAAGAAAAACTTCATACTGATGCAACAACCTTTATTTTGAACGGAGTACAACATGCGATATGAATTTTTGTACAGTATGGGGGTACGTGTGGATGTGTGCCGGTGAAGAAAAAGAAGAAGAATACCCTTGCCTTTCGGCTACCTTTCAGTATAGGGCGCTGCCCAAGAACAGTTTCGAAAGTCTGATGTTTTCCTACAACTATTACTAGCTGCAGCTTCGGACAGAAGACCAGCCTGACTCAGAGTTCCTCCAGCTTTATCACTTAAGCTCCGCATACATACTGACTAACCACGTACTAGCCACAAGGGCTTTTTATGTATGTCACGCGTAGTCAGTGTGCTATCGGATGGGTGCTCCGAGACAAACAGCGGTTAGTAACTTGGCCAAGGTCACTCTACGTTTGCTGGCACCGAAGTTCGAACAAACTGTCTTGTGGATATGTGTCGAACATCTTAACCATTCAGCCATAGCAGCCCTGGGTGTGAGTTTGGGTGATCATTTCAACAGGAACAAAAGAATTAAACCCACATCCACACCACACCCTGTGTTGCTTCTTACTGATGTAAAAGGTAATGCATCCGACTCTTATCCGGAAAATTGATAGCTTTATTTTGTTCGTCAATGATGACTCGTGCTCCTTCTATAATAATTCCCCATCAACTTTTACCGAAGTGAATGGACCAAAATGAAACGATGAAATGCAGCATAAACAGAAGGAATGACTAATAAAGTTGATAGCATCATGACCATTGTATTACTGTTCTATTTCCTTCCTTGTAATGACTTCGTATTAAAAAATACAACTGTGTGAGTGTTCTATTTTGCTTTCGTTCTTACCAAATAACTGAAAATGATTCACGAAATGCTGTTCTCACTTCAAAAATGATTTGACAGTTTTTTTCTACCTCGCCATTGGGGTCGAAATGTGTAAGTACCCAGAGATGGGCCCAGGACGACCTTTTCTATCCTGATTTGTTCAGCAATCGATCCAGTTCGTTTAATGAAAGGATTGGACGAAGAATGGCTTGCCCTCCTGCCTTGCGCTCAATTCTATTAGTAAGACGTAAATAAATTTCATGTTTTTTGAAAATAGTATAGGTTACAAGGAGAGGGTTATGGAAATCATTTATCTTCATTTCGATATTTTTGAGAAAATTAACTTTTTTTAAGCGGGAGGAGCATAAGTCAACGCGCATGCTCATTTGAGGAATTAATACCCCAATGAAATGCTGTTCGACACATACAAATACCGCATGATCTTAGATGCAATGGGATTCTTCATTACCAATTTTTCTTTGCTGAAACGAAAGATGCTTCTGAAAATAAAGGTTGTAGATCCATCGCTTTATTTATTGACCGATCGATATATGCTACTGTATTTTTCACATGAGCCATCTGTTAGAATTCTAGACAACGATGCACGAATGCAACTCATCTGAGAAAGAATAATCACTGATGATGACAAATAGTAACAAAAGTCATAGAAGAGTATGAACATGATAGAGAAATTCCTACAAGATTGTTGCAATATTATTGTATAGCGAAGAGAGTGATTTAAAATGAATGATTGGAAAATAACTGGTAAAAAAATTGACTACAGTTTTTGTGCAATAAAAAAAACAAGATTATTGTTCGGATATTTTTGGTAATGCATCGAGAACATAACTAACAAGATTGATTTCATCATTTGATGGATTGTTTTCAAGAGAAACTATTGCTGCCATTGATAATATATCAGAATAATAACGTGGACGTTCATTGACATTATGGCGAAGTCTATCAAAAAAAAGCAATCGAATTCAATGAAATTAACATTTAAAAAGAAATAATACAATATTGCCAGTAAATCTCGAGTATCTTGAGAAAGTACCAAAGGTAAATCAGGTTGCCATCCATTTTTCATATGAGACATAAATGACATAATGGATTCAGAAGCCAACGGAAGACAACCTTGACTTATTTCAAGCTAATTTTAAAAAAAATTATTTTCTTATTAAATTAACTAATCAAACATACGAGACTCATTCCTAATGCCCACATATCAGATCGTGTTCCATAAGAACAAGTATTTCCAAGACGTTCAGGCTTTTTGATATAAAATAAAAATGAATGCAAAACAGAAACAAAATCATTTTGACATAAATTACAATATCTTACAGGTAAATATCTCAATGAGCCAAGATGTGTTAATGAAACAGAATCTTTCAAAGTGCCACAAATTCCAAAATCACATAATTTAAATATAGCTGGACGTGCAACTAACATATTTTGTGGTTTTATATCTCGATGTATTATATTTTTCGATTTAAGATAATCAAGCGATAGAACAATCTAAATTTCATCAAATTAAAGATCTAAATATAAACATCCTTCGAAAAAAGAAAACGAACATGTTTTGCTAATCGTCGTATCAATGTATCCAATAAAATTGGTTGTGGTTGAACACATGAATGTAGAATTGCATAAAATTTATCCATACTTGCTTCAAGAGCTTCCATACAAATAACTAATTGTCCATCAATAAAATCAATAAGAGCAGCATAAAAATGTACAATATGAGGATGAAGATCATTTCCAACAGCTCTCATTGCTTTTAAATCACTTTCAGATGAATAATTATTATTTCCATGATCTTCAAGTGTCATTCTCTAAAAATTTCTTCTTCTTATTATTATTGAAATAAAATAAAAAATTAAACTAACTTTACACGCAAAAACAACATCTGGTCGATGTGCAAGTTGAGTTAAACTAACAAAACCAAAACTTCCTTCACCTAATTTTTTTACATTTATCAATTGTTGAACATTGAATTCAATAGTTTCTCCATTATATTCAATTTTACATGAATCTTTGATATCAGCAAATCTAAACGAGTAATAGAAAGCAAAATAAAAAGATTTTTTTTTGATTTTAATTATTTGATGAATGTAATATTAAAATCATTATTCTTGGGTGGACTNTATATTACAGGTGTCAAAATAAATTTACCAGCAAACATATCGGACATACTCACATTAGCCGAAAAGCATGACTTAGAGTTAAAATTAGTTGATGATCCTAATTATGAACCAACACACGAAGATAAAACTAAATGTACAAGCATAGTACTATACAATAAAAGAGATCGAGATAGTCAGGGAAATGTTAAAGTAGGACATTTTGAATTAATTTTAAACGATAGAAGTGAATATAATACTTCCAATACAAATAATGATTCTGCTTATACGGTTATTCAACAAATATTAGAAAGAAAAGGAATATGCAAAACTATTGAAGCACTTCGTAACGACAGAGCTAAAATAATAGACGATAATCCTCATCAGTTTTCCATAGAATTAAGAGCACAAGAATGGATTGAAAATCATTATCCTCAAGAGATGAATAATTTATTAACCATAAGATCAGGCAAAAGTTCGAGGTTGTCGAACAATGAAAATCACATAGTAGGTAGCTCATTAAGATCCAATTCACTTGACTTAAGCTGAGATGCTAGTGTAGAAACGGAAATTCAGCTTTGTTCGTCTTGTACCATCCTCGTAATCACTTGTATCATGTGTTACAATCAGACACATGTGAATTTCTCATACCTTTCTTCTTACAGCTTTCGAAATTTTCAATACCGGAGCCTAAATCTCATCATATCGTTAATTCGTTTTCTTTTCTAAATATTTTTTGTCGCTTTTTACAATTACCGTTATTAATGTAATCCTCTTGTTGTCGCCTATCTTTTATGCTTCAATTCTATTTTTCTCTAATGTGTTTCATTTTTTTCTGTATCTTTTTAATCAGTTTTTTTGTTGTAATTCCATTGCAGCTGCATGTTACAAAATCTTTGAAGTTTTCCAATTGATTGGAAAATATCAAGTAGTTAATTTATAATTTTTCCAAGAAAGAAGCCACACTTACCACTTTATGTTGCAAACAAACTGAAATATTAAATGTGATCATGTAATCGACTATCATACGATCAGTGATAGAATGTTACACACGAATGGATCAATATTTGCCAAATGCTTCAAGACAAACTTTTTTGTTTGGGTCCAATATGAATTATATTGAAGTCGTCAATGATTCAATTTGTCAGCGGCTTTTCATATGTCAAACGAACGATACTAACAAAAAACAATCATATTTTATCGATTTGTAGTGACATCTTCAAGTGTGATGGATATGAATGTCGCTCAGATTCAAATTGCTACTTAGGAGAGATGAATGGTTTCATTGTTCGATAAAAACTCAATTATCATTTCGTCCAATATAATGGTTTCAGTTCCACAAGTATACAAGGAACTAGTAGAAAAAACTGTTGTAAAATCCATGAACTATTATCCCGGCATGCTTGGTAACTCTTGGAATAAAAATACATTCAATTGAATCTTCACAAAAATGATCTTTAGCGAACAAATTAATATGAATATTTATCTCCGATGATTGTAAAGAAAATTAGATTCGTTTCGACCTAATCATTGACCTAAAAGCAGTTGTTCAATAAAAAATTAAGATCGATTTTATTACTTGATTCTTATTGATTTTTTCTTAGTATCCATTGTGTTTGTAAGGAGACTGAAAGAAAAAGGAAATAAACATGAATATAAAATAATATTTTACAATACACAACAATGATTTTTTTTTATTTATAATAATATAGATACTTGCACCTTCGTCAACCATTAGAAAATAACGTTACTACCTCGAAAAACGCTTTCCTTCACTAAAAAAGTGTGTGTGTGAAAGTATGAGTGTGGGAGTTTTGATGTGGGCCAAAGTCATGTAACCATATCTACACCCCTAATCGTATCATTTATTCTTCTTCGATAAAATAGACACAGATTATGGTACTTAAATTATGAAGAAGTCAAACATTAAGCTCTATATTCTATTGTCTCAGGTAATGCTAAGAAATAATAACATCTTTGTCTGCTTTTATTCATTAGAATTTTTAAATAGTTTTGATAATAATTCTGCATAAAAAATATTCAAAGAAACATTAGTTTCTTTACCTTCCATATGTCCATGTTTTAAGATGAATATAAAAAATAAAACTATTATTTTCAAACTGTATGACAGTGATTCACATGATGGACGATTTTAATAGTCCGATATCATTGTTAAACTAATTAGATTCCATAAATGTTGTTTCGCAAGATTTTTCACATCTTTACTAAAGTTTCAGCTATTGCTGAGAAACTAAGTATCGAAGAAAATAGCAAAGCGAGCATAAGCAAAATAGTGAGATTGCCAAGGGTGTGGGTGTCGGTGGGTGTGCGTGTCGGTGGGTGTGGGTGTGCGTGTGAATCTCGTTTTCACTACACCACACCCACATCCACACCCGCACCGACATCCCATACCCATACCCATACCACACCCCACCCACACTCACCCACATCCACATCCACACCCACACGCACCCACACTCACACCCTCAAATCTCTAATACTCAATTGATGATTACAAATCATTTTTCTTCATTGATTGTGAAAAGCACCTTTCATAGTTTTGAGTTTGAGAAGATTCNATGTCGTTATACATTTTGTAAAAAATGTTATGAAACATTTCATTCTCAAGCAATGTGTCCTAAAGATTATTTAATTGAACAAATGAAATTACAAAAACAAAAAGAACTTGAACGACTTCAACGAGAAAAAGAAGTTGCATTAGCTCAATTAACTAAAAGTAAAGGACATAAAAAATCTTCGAATGAACAAAATATTGCTACGCAAAGATATCGTAAAATTATTATTAAACTATCTGAACAAAATAGCCTATTACAAGAAATATTAACTGCTGAGCGAATTAATTCACAAGGTATTCAATATTGTCCTCAATGTCATATAGCAATCGAAAAAAATGGTGGTTGTTCACATATGCATTGTACACGATGTAATTTCGACTTTACTTGGCAAACAACACAAGAACCAACAACAACAATTATTACTCCATACCTAGAAGATGAAGATTTTACAGAAGTTGAATCTATAAAAGAAGAATTCAACAAAGTAGCATATTTAGGTTAGTAACAAATGAACTGTTATTGAATAAAAAAAAGTGTGTGACATGATGAAATCTTTTAGAGTAACATATAATATTCTATTGCAACTCTCAGATATTATGGTTTTAAGTGTTCATACCACGTTTGAAAGGAATTCCCATAATACTCAACTTGTTCGTTTTACAACAGTTTACATCTATGTTTCAACTCATATCTTCACATGTTTCCGAAAGTAGTATAAGAGCAGTATCTTCATTTTCAAAAGTCGATGAGAAACTATTGTAAATCTATTTCTTGGAATAACATCAGTATCATTCTCAAGATTTGGTCCTTGTGTCAAGAAAAAACAACGTATTTGATGATAACTAGAATAATATATGTTATCTATTGTTCTCTTCTGTTTAATTTGTCAGATGAGAATTATTTATTTACATTTTTTTTTCTTTTAGTTGAAACTCCTCTACACGAAAAAGCAGAACAAAATGAAGAAATATCTTCTGATCAAGCTCACGAACAAGAACAAGAAGAAAACGACGAAGATTTGAAAATTTCAATTGATAATAAATCGGTTATCGGCTCGGCTATACTTAATCGAGTGACAAAATGTCCCAATAAATCGTGTAAGAAAATTAATGTAAAGATTACTCAAGATAATTGGATAATATGCAGTGCATGCATGAAACAATTTTGTTTTTTATGTCGATGCGGAGTGAAAACACCAGAACATTTTGGAAAAAAATGTTTGCGAACCACACCAGTTTAAATAAAACTTACATATTTAAGATGATATTGAAAGATAACATAGAAAAGAATCATATATCTTGCTAGACGGATTAATATCAAACA